TTGTTCTGGCTGTTGCTGCCTCGCTTTGTGCGTTTGGCAACATTGAATTTTCATGGTTGAGGCAGCTTCTTCTAATGCTGCAGTTGGCCAACACGCAACACACACTATTTAATACGCTATATAACAGCAGTATCTGCATTTGCCAATCATTAGCTTTAAAGCAGACGCTGTCGCGGACGCGGACGCGCTCTTGCTGTTGCTGTCGTGGGAGTAGATACAAATCGCCAGCTGTCCAGGGGGCAACTTCTTGGCGGGGCAAGCAATTAGCGCTTGAATGCCACGTGAATGCTTTACCAAATGAGGCGCACGGCCACGTTGAGCCCACAGATACTCGTAACTAATTGAAACGGCCGCAAGCCGTGCGGCCCAAACGTGAGAATATCTTGTGGACATTATCATCAATCTTGCGGCTTGTCAGCAAAGTCAGCTGGCGTTGCAGCCGAAGCTGGACACGCGCTACAAGTTATCTGAGGACTTTGGCTCTGACTGAAGACTGTTAGATGCTACTCAAAAATCAAACCCAAATTAATAAACAGTTACGCATGCGCAGCGAAAACGAGTTGCATGCAACAGAGGCAACAACAGCTGCAGCAACAGTTGCAGCGGGCTGACCGCGTCCGAGCAAGCCGTTGATTATAGATCTTGTCTGTTATTTTGGCAAACTGCACTCGACTCAACTCGACTCGACTCGACTGCAATTGCAGTAATCAATGCGCTGTTATCAATAACAGCTAGCGGTGCCAAGGATTGAATGCAGAGCAGCAGTATCAGCAGCAGAGCAGTAAGTTCGGCAGACGACAATTTGTTTGTCCGTGTCCGTAACGGGCCATAAGAATTTGTCGAAAATTGCACAAACAAAAATTATGATATATCTGGCTTGCTGCAGCCAGTGGGCAGATCTGTGATTAGCTTCGCCCAGCGGCAGCATACACGACTGACAGACAGACAGACAGACAGACAGATTGATGACCCGATGGGGGCTCATTAAAGCCACGCAGTGCAATCAAAACAAATCAAGCGCAGGACACATAAAAAACAACAACTGCAAAATATGGAAAGGCTACAGCTAGGATCCTCAACTGTGGGAAACTATGCGGCTTAACTACGCCTTTAACTGCTTAATTACAGCGCCTCAAGGCCAAGTGGCAACTCCTAGTTCCACTCCAAAGTTGAGACCAGACTCATTATTATCTATTAAGCAGTCAGATTTGCAGTCCGATGGCAAAGAAAAAAAGCAAAAGTTGTGGCCCAACTGACAACCTGACTGACTGTCTAATGACACTGCCCCTTTCGCAGGGACTCTGAAATCTTGGGCTCTGCAGCATAAACACATATGTATGCATATGAGCTGCAGCCAGTTGCCTGCGGTGCAGTTGCCAGCAATTACAATGCTCACATATAGACAGCCAAGGATTGGATTCATGTCTAGGCGTAGACCTGTGCACAGCTCTTGGTAATTGTTTCATATGCATAGCAGCAGCAGAAGCTGCGCCAGCAGCAGCAGCATTGACTCCATCAGCAACAGGCAGCAATTTCACGGCATCCTCGTCATGACCAGCGGGCATAATTTACTTAGAACGAATCATGTCTAGGCTGGGCTGGTAATAAAACACAGCGTCACGCCAGGGCCCAAAGCCCGCATCATCAGGCATAGAGCCTGGCGCAACTGCGTCCAATTTGGCAGCGCAAGGAGCCGCTGCATTGGATGCTGTCGACGTCTACATTGCTACCTTGTCCTCGACATAATCATGTTAAATTACTCGCAAATTCATTTGCTGTGCGCGGCTGCTGCCTCCGTTGGGCGCATTGTTGTTAGGGAGCTTCCCTTTGCCTCCATCTCGCTGATGCATGGTGCATGATATGGCGGCATACGAACACACACACACACACGGAGCGTGTGTATGGGCATGGGCTTGGGCATGGGCATGGGTTGTTAGCTTGTCGCTCACTCCATATTGATCGACTCGGCATTATGGAAATTATGTGATCAAGGCCATAGAAAATGGAAATTGTTTTCGCAACAAAAAATTTGCATGCCTCTTGCTCGGCAGCAGCAGCAGCAGCAGTTGTTGCTGCCTCTTCTTGGCCTGGCATAATTTCTGTTTTCCTGCCATTGCATAATTGAACCAAACCAAGACAAGCTGAGCTGGGGCCGTGCAATTATAGTTCGATTTATTGCATGTGCAGTCGGGTCCCTTGTTGGCGCATTGTTCTAGCCGGACATGGAGCACTTCGACCTGGCTCTAATTACGTTCATCTATATCAAATGCAGCCAGCGATTCGCCAACGATTCGCTATTGTCACCCAAAGAAAGAAGAGCCGGCTGAAACGGCTTTCTGGCCTTTACGGCCTTATCAGCTAGCCATATATCTTGGCCGGGTGGGGCGTGCTGTGGGTGTGCTGCTGCAGCTGCTCGATGTTCCCAAAGTAGCGGTAAAGAAGCTGCTTCTGCCGCCGCGTTTGGCAACGCATAGCAACACACTAAAATGGCGCATTGGGAGGGGGGCATGACTACAGCCCAAAGGAAGATTTGTGTTTATTTTGTAATCTTTGAAATATTTGTGGCATGGCAAATATTTCACTAGCTACGTTTCCGCGTACCGCAAGAGGACAGCAAATAGAGAGAGAGGGAGAAAGGGACAGAGAGAGAGAGCGAGAGCGAGTAGAATTGAAAAAGGAACGATTGCTATCAACGAAATATTTAGCGAAACTTCCACTTTTCACATGCCACAGGCGCTGTCTCCGCGTCTGGCCTCTGTAGTTAGTCTAAGCCGCTGAGCACACCCCTCCCTTCCGCTTAGCCCCACACACACACATCCGCCTGCGAATCCACCTACAGCCACTAAATAATAAAGCGTAACCAGCAAAAGGCGTGCCCGCTGCCTTAGCCTGGTCAATGCGACTGTCGGAGACAGAGTCAGAGTCGCAGTCGCAGTTGAAGCCAAAGCCAGCTACGGCACCTAGGCCTAAGTCTAGGCCTACTTATGTAAGTAAAGCCAGCTAGTGGCTTGTATTTTATGGTTTGTGTACACATTTTTGCACACATGCGCGACCGGGTCATTCAACTTGCTGCAGCAGCAACAGCAGCGGAGGCAGCGAGAGCAGCAGCCATCCAGCCATGGCCATGGCCATGGCCAACCAACGGTCGGGATGCGAGGCGCGCGCGCGCTTTCCTAGAATAAACAAAATGCACGACTCTTGCGACAGCAACAACAACAACAGCAGCAACAGCAGCAAGCAACGCCGCCAACAACTTTGGCTTGGCCCGAAGCTGCAGTCATGTGAATGTAGCAGCCAAATCAACACCAGCAACAACAACTTAGTTGGCTGAGTAACTGACTGACTAACTGACTGACTGACTTCTGTTTGTTGGACCGACACGACCATGTTTGATGTGTACCATCAGCAGCCGGCAAACGACGACTCATGCGTCTTGGTCATCATCGTCGTGCTGATGCTGCCGCGTATTCGTACTCGTACTCGTACCCGTACTCGTGTACTCCACAACTCGTATGTGGCTTGTTTTAGTTGTTGCACTTGCAGCGGAAAATTGTTGCATAAGTTTGCATTACAAGGCGGCCAACTGGGAACTGGCAAATGGCAACTGGGCAGTACGTTGCGGGGCGTGCTTGCTGCGAACCGGCTGCATGATTGACTCCCATTGCTGCTGCTCCCAAGTGCTACCAATGTCGCCCCCCTTCGAGCCAAATTCTGCGCCCGCTTTGTCTCCTTCTCTCTCGCCCTCTCACTCTCTCCCTCCCTCTCTCTCTCTCTCTCTCTCTCTTTCCGTCCAGGCAGGCAATCCTTAACAGTTAATGTGTAAATTTTTATGCGTTGCCAGGTTCGGTCGTGGCTGTTGCTGTTCTTACCGCATAAAATGTAATTTACATCCGTTAGTTTGAATGAGTAAGTCGTTGCAGCAACAGCAGCAACAACATGCCGTAGCAACTGCCTCGCCATTGAAATTGCTACTCTGATTTGTTGCTGCTGCCGCTTCTACAGCTTAGAGCCTGCCTGCCTGCCTGCCTGCCTTTTGGCCAATATCATGCTTATGAGCACTTGCCGTTAGAATTCGCATTGTTATTTCGGATGTATTTCGTAGCCGAATTGCGGGTATTCTAAATTATATTGCTGCCGGGTAAATAGTAGCCGTAGCCACTCAATCAAGCGAAAATTAACATTTGAGATATGTGCAAAATTGTCAACCCTTCAACTAGGCACAATTAATCAAAGTTGGTCCAACAACAACAGCAACAACTATTCACAACAAAATGCAATTTGTCAAATCATTTAAGCTGCTGCTGTTGCTACTGCAGCATGTTGCTGTCGTGGTCGTGTAAACGCCACCGCAGCAACAAGTGGCCGCCAGTTGGCTGCCGCGCGCGTTGCCGGCTAACTGTCAGCTTAAACAATTTGTTTGAGCCATTTTTTAGCGACTCTCGCTGCAGTTGGCCCAGTGTGGGACACACACAGGGTAAGATCCTCCAGCTACGTGCCATTATTTGTTGCACTCTCTGTTGTTGTTAACGCTACGGCTACCTCTGCTGCAGGTTGCCGCTGCTGCTGAATTTTGATTATGTGGTAATAACACGTTGCACGCACACAAAGCCGAGCACTGCAACAGTTGCTGTTGTTGCTGCAATTTGCTGCCCGCTTGTTGCAGGCTGCTTGTTGCCAGTTGCCTGTTGCATGCTGGCCAGCGGCGGTCGGGCCCTGTTATCAGACGAGGCTGGCCTATCAACGAGAAGTTCGAATAGAAGACCAAGTCCAAGTGCCTCGACTTCGGCCTACGCAAGTTTGCAGCCACGTTTAATTTCAATTGCATGCAGGTACAATTAGAGGTCTGGCATTCGCTGTAATAGATAAATTAATTTATTATAGTCATGACGACTAACGGATATGGCCATCATAAAATTCTGCCGTAATCGAGAAAAATAGCTCTTACATTTCATAATACAATACAAATTAATTTGTTCCTTTTTTTTACATTTCTTTTGCAGCCCCACTGCAGGAATACACGGAAATACAACAGTACCCAGGTAAGTGAGAAGCCGCACAGATGAAAATACCCAAGAAATCCGATTAGATAATCAATGAAAAAAGTTTGACAGGGATTAAGTAAAAGCTTATAATTCATTTATGATGTGGAATCAAAGCATTCACGTTAATTGATCCCCATTTTACAGCCACTTACCATTGCCCCGCGCCAAGCGGCTAATCAACCACAAAAGATCGGACCAATAGCTGACCCAAAGTTGTCATAAAAAGAGCAGAGCAGAACGTAGGGGGGACTGTGTACCGCATTATTAGGCTGTTAGCTGAGGTGTGAAAAAATACCCGAATGAAATGAGAATGCGCCAGCTGTCGAGCAAATACCCTGTAACTGACATATATGCATGCTATGCTAAGAAATTATAGATATTGATAGATAATGCTTTCGAAATAATAAAGCAAAAGTTCTTAATGCCAACATTGGTAAAGATAATGCTATTAATGGCTTAAGATATTAAAAATTAAAAAATAATTTATAAAAAAGTCCCACTTTTCTAAATATCTAACTCTTGTAAGAGTTATTTATATTTGAATTCGGAAGGGACATATTTTGTTCTTAAGTTGGGATTCTGTATAATAAAACTAGGCATTGCCTATTTTATCAGTGTAAAACGTAAATATAGTACAAATAAAATGTCTACAGGGTATTTAAAACAAAATGAAACATAAAGAAATAAACGCTTTTTTACGAGCTTTATGTTGAAAACGTGAGCTCCAGACAGCGACACCAAAGATTTCAATCAAAAATTGTCTAGCCAACAAGTCAGCGGCACAGGCCAACAACACAAATGGTAGTCAGAGCTGGGGCTGGACGGAAACACGTTAGCGGGGAGCTGCTGCAAGTTGCGCTTAACGTGTTAATAATGTGATTTGAAATTTATTGCGGGTGGACGCCAGTAAATTAGGTAGCCCAGTACCAGTGTCAGTAACCAGTAGCCATAGACGAGACGTACGTATGTTAAACGTTGCTCGGCGCCTGAGTTGTGTGTGTTTAACGACTCTGATGAGCAATAAAAGATATCTATAGCTGCACGTATTATGACAGTTGATGGCGCTGGGCCTTAATTTATGGCCGAAACGACACAGTGGCACACATGAGCTAGTTAAGACTTGGCTTGAATGCATAACTGATGCTAGGGAACTAACTGCTAGTATTACTTGCACTGTCATATATTAAGTAGTTGAGGAAGGCATTGTTTGGGGCGATGGTTCCCAGGGCTGCTCCAGTTATGGCTAGATGGGTTGGTAATGAATCGCAACTTTCTTTTCGCTTATTGCAGAGGGCTGCTACTACAACTATGCGCATTACAATGAAGGTGACCGCATCATGACCAATGAGCCGTGTCTCAACTGCACCTGCCACAATCGCATGCTCATGTGCTATCTGCGCGTCTGCCCGTTCACCAAGCCCATTGGTCACGATTGCATTGTGGAGAAGCGCGAGGATCAGTGCTGTCCCATCATAACCTGTCCAGAGGGTAAGCTCTATAAGCTATATTTCTATAGCTAGATATTTTAACTACGTGTTGCTATTGCAGTTCCTGTGGACGTGCCTTATCATACTCCTGAGCCTGGCACCGAACTGAGCATACCCGAGAAGTTTGGCTGCAGCATTGAGGAGAAGTTCTATCCGGAAGGCGCCCAGGTGCCATCGAATCCCAACAAGCCATGCGAGCTTTGCTACTGCATTAACAATCAGACCAAATGCGTTATGCAGGAGTGCACCCTACATGTGGACGGCTGCACACCCATATACAACAAAGGCTCTTGTTGTCCCGTGCGCTACAGTTGCGGTAAGTAGATGAAGGATTGGGTTCTTAAAAGCAAATTTTGATTTCACATTATTCTTTGCAGATCACGAAAATGATGTTCTTGAGCTGGAGGATCAGTCGACGACGACGACCACGGTTCGTCCAACGACTGGCTTTATTTTAACCTCAACCATGACACCAGCCGTGTCTACGGATTGCATCCACAATGGCAAGAACTTTGCGGATGGTGCCTCCATCAAGGGCAAGAATGCTTGCGAGCATTGTTACTGCATGCGCGGCGATATTGTGTGTGCCGTCCAAGAGTGCGAGATGCCCATGAGTACGACTAGTGGTAAAGCCTGCCGTGCCATGCCAGCCGCCGAGGGCGAGTGCTGTCCCAGCAATTACATTTGCGAGGATGACAGTGCCACGACTGAAATCATTGAGGTTACTACCCAGGAGGTTAGCCGGGATGAGGCGACTGTTACCACAGCAACGCCTGTCAAGGATATACATGGTGAAATACCCAAGGAAGATGTTGATCTTCAAGAGCACATTGATGATGAGGAGAAGGATAAGGATGTGGCCACAGAGAGTCCAGCAGAGGAAGTCGGCAGCGGCGAGGTTGATCAAGAGTACACTACGGCTGCTCCTGTGCATGACGATAAGATTAAGGAGAAAGAGCCTGAGACCTCTACTATCGGTGCTGATAATAGAATTGATATACCAGCTGAATCATCGCCGGCAACGCCTGTCGAGGAAGGCAGTGGCGAGGAGGATATTATTAAGGCCACTACTCCACGAACACAGGAAGCTGTTAAGCCTGCCGAGCCAACTAAGGAAGGTAGCGGTGAAGATAAGGTTCCAACTGCTGCTGAGGAAGGTAGCGGTGAAGACGAAGATATTACAGCCACGTCTCCAGTGTCTTCTACAGAAACAAGCTATGAAAGTGAGCAAGAAATTGTTAAGCCTACAACACCTGTTTCTGAAGTCCGTCCTGATGAAGATGGTCAAGAGGCTACTACTTCCAAAGTGCAGATTAGCGAGGAGGAGGATGCCGCCAAGGGTACAACTCCAGCTGGAGATTTTGGCGACAAGGAAGATGTCAGTAAGATTACAACTCCAGCTTCAGAGGTTATCGTTCAGGAAGATGTTGCCGAAGGTACAACACCAGCTGAAGACATTAGCGATAAGGAAGATGCCGCCAAGGGTACAACTCCAGCTGGAGATTTTGGCGACAAGGAAGATGTCAGTAAGAGTACAACTCCAGCTTCAGAGGTTAGCGTTCAGGAAGATGTTGCCGAAGGTACAACACCAGCTGAAGACATTAGCAAAAAGCAAGATGTTGCCAAGGCTACAACTCCAGCTACAGATGTTAGTGATAAGCAAGATGTTGCCAAGGATACGACTCCAGCTACAGAGGAGGAAGATACTAGTAAGGCGACAACTCCAGCCAAGGAAGTCAGTGGTGAGGAAGATATTGTCAAGGATACAACTCCTGCTGGAGAAGAAAGTCTTGATGAGGATACTAGTAAGCCGAGCGTTTCTGCCGGAGATGAAATTGCTGAAGAAGATACTGTTAAGGCTACAACTCCTGCTGCAGATATTAGCGATGACAAGGATATTGTTAAGGCTACAACTTCTGCTGCAGTTGTTAGTGATGACAAAGAGGACAAGGCGACAACTTCTGCTACAGATACTAGTGATGAAAAGGATATTGACAAGGCCACGACTGTTTCTGCAGATATTAGTGCTGACAAGGAACAAAAGCCAACAACTCCTGCTACAGATGTTAGTGGTGAGGAAGATACTGTTAAAGCGACTACTCCAGCCAAGGAAGTCAGTGGTGAGGAGGATATTGCCAAGGCTACAACTCCTGCTGCAGATGTTAGTGATGACCAGGAAAATACGGCGACAACTGCTGTCGCAGAAGATAAGGATATTGTTAAAGTTACAACTCCTACTCAAGACGTCCGTGCAGAAGATGAAATTGTCAAGGGTACAACTCCTGCTGAAGAAGAACCAGTTGATAGAGATACTGAGAAAGCTACAACTCCTGCTGGAGAGGTTGGTGGTGAAGAGGATATTGTCCAGGCCACGACTCCTGCGGATCAAGCTAGCACTCAGAAAGACAAGGAGGCTGTTAAGCCCATCGAAGGAGCCAGCGATGACGAAGGAATCATTTCAAGCACAACGTCCCCTGAGGATACCAGCGTCGAAGAGGATAAGATTAAGGCTTCTACTCCTGCCATTGAGACAATCAAGTCTACCACACCAAAAACTGAAGAGGATCAGACTGAAGCAGCTGAAAGCTCTACCGACAAAGATGCCGCCAAAGAAGAAGACGAAATTGTACCGGCAACAACAGCGGCTCCTCATATTCTTTCCTCCACTACTGAAGGCATCAGTGATCAAGATAGTACAGAAAGCACATCAGAAGAAGAGAAGCCTGTCGTACACAGTACAACAATTGCGCCCAAGCAACCGGAGGACAAGGAAGAACAACCGATCACAGTGTCCTCAGTTGAAAGTGATGAGAAGGAAGCAGAGGAAGCAGAGGATCACACTGAGCAAACCAAAAAAGATGAGAAAGAGACATCAACTGAAGAGACTGATAAATTCACAACTGTCAAAGCAGAAATGGACATTCTGTCATCTACCAGTGCACCACTTGATAAGCAGCCTTCAGAGCAGCCCAGTATTGCCACCGACAAGGATAAGGATGAAGACCAAACTACTCAAGCAGTGCCTGTCAAGTCAGATATTGCTCCTGCTGTCATTGAAGCTGATCAAAGTACTGCCAGACCAGACAAAAGCGAGGAAGGCACAACTGATAAGCCGCCAGCAGTTTATCTGCCTCCTGTTTCAGAAGGTACTGACTCTACGGAGAGAATTGACACCAGCACCGAAATCCCAGAATCAAGTGAAGAAGATATTACTGCATCTACGTCAGAGGAGGAATCGCCTGAACCAGCCAAGGTTACACCTGAAAAAACAGGCGCCGCGGATGAATTCGCTGCAGAGAAAACTACATTGGCACCCACTAGGGATGAGGAGACCACAGCAGCATCCATGCCTGACATGCAGCTGCCAGCTGCTATACCAGGAGAAGGCGACTGCTTGGTCGAAGGCAAAACCTATGCCAACAATACCGATGTGCCAGCAACAACTCCTTGCGATGTATCGTGCAAATGCATTAGCAGCATTGTGTCCTGTAAGTCAATGGAATGCAAAATTCCCGACGATCGTGAGAACTGTGTTCTGGCTACCGATCTGCTTGACGGCTGCTGCCCAACTTATATTTGTGAAGCTGATTCCTCAACAGCGAAGGCCGATGAAAGTACTGATGAGAGCAAGTCAACAACTATCAAGCCTGAATCAAGCACAAAGCCTGCTGATAGAGTTGATGATGAACTGGAGTCTACTAGCACTCAACAAATACCACAGGATGTCATTATGCCTTCTGGCATTACTGAGCAGCCATTATCACACGTTAAGCCCGATGAAGAAATCCCATCCGTTACCACAACTATTCCCGTAGTAGATGAAGTCACAACGCCTAAAGATATCAAGAAGCCGATAGCTGAAGAACTTCCTACTGAAGAAGAAGCAGATATAATTGTAGGTGCTACTGCCGCTCCTGAAATCATAAAAGAAGTTCAGACGCCTGCCGAGAAAGACCACACACCGGAAGATGGCGCTCATAAGCAAACTGCAGAACCAACAACTGAGGAAACTGGCAAGCAGCCAGCACAGGAACCAACTACAACACCCGCTTCCACTACAGATGAGTCCAAAAAGGAGACCGAAGATACTACGGACACTACGACCATTGCTCCTATTGAATTGGACGAAGAGAAACCAACTAAAGAGGAGAAGCCCGCTGACGAAAGGGTGGAAGTCCCAGAAGGCGCAATCGAAGACAAGATTTCTGCAACTACCATTGCTCCTACATCTGAGGAAGCATCCACAGAATCTGAGGAAGAGCCCTCATCTACTGAGGCGCATGTCGCTGATGTTGATAAGAGACCAGTTGAGGATGCTGAAAAGATCCCCGCATCGTCGATTGCCACACCATCTGAAGCTGAGAAAGTCACAACATTGGTTCCACCTACTGATGCTTCTAAGCCTTCTGAAAGCACTGAAGACAGCGTTTCTGCGACAACTCTTCGCCCTGAAACTGAAGAAGATCAAGACACTAAGAAACTGCATATTCCATTGCCAACTACAGAGATACCAGCTGAGTCGGAGGAAGATGCAAAGAAACCTGCCGATGAAGAAACAAGTACTGAGGCTGATATTGACAAGAAACCAGCCCAGGAATCGCAAATTACAACCAAGGCTCCGAAAACGGAAGAAGATAAAGGAACATCTGATGATATATCCACTTCTGCTCCAGCTGATAGCAAGGATCAAGATGAAACTACTGGCTCTCCCATTACAGATGATGAAGAAGAGGTTTCGAGCACAGAAAAGGCTGAACATGAAGAGAAAGATGTCGAGAAAGAAACTACTGTTGCGCCATCCACCGAAGACGAAGTCTCTAAGGTTACCAAGCTTCCTGAAGATGAATCCGAATCAGTCCCAACAACAACCATTGGTTCAGCAGCACAGGCAGATGAGAAGAAACCAATCGAAAAAGAAACTCCAGCAATCGCAACCGTTGAGGATGAAATTAAGCCCGAGGCGAAGCCTTCAGTTACTGTGGCCCCAACTGATGCAGACAAGGAAGAGTCTACAGAGCCATCTGTCACTATCTCACCAACTAGGGATACATCTGGTCCTACTTCCATCAGCCCTGCACCTGAGAAACCAACAGAAGACAAATTTGACGAGGAAACTGTTTCAACTGACGCTCCTGTTATTGATGTTTCTAAGAAACCGGAAGATGAGAAGATTCCATTCGTACCTTCGTCTACTGAGAAAGACCTGGAACCATCAATCCAAACATCTACACCATCAGATAAGAAGACTCAAGACGACCAAATTGACATTGCTACAGATGTTGTTCCCACTGATGAAGATGAAAAGCCATCAACAGAGTCTTCAAGTGAAGAGGATGAGCAAACGGCGCATACTACAGATAAGCCACAAGCTCCAGGGGATACAATTACATCTTCAACGTCTGCACCATCCACCCAAGATGAAGAACATAAGGTGCCAGATCATGATGCCGAAGAAGATGCCATCACAACTGCAGCTCCCTCCATCCAAGATGACACAAAGAAGGCATCCGAAGAAGAATACACTTCGACACCTTTGGAGATTGATGTGGATACAAAGCTTATTACTACCATTGCTCCAAGCACTGCAGACAAAGAAGCAGAGGAGCCATCTAGCGAAACTACATCTACCCAACGACCGACCACAAAGGGAGAGCAGGAAACACCAGAGGACAAAATTGATGCTACCACTGTTGCTCCTAGTTCCGAAGATGAAGCAAGACCGTCAGACAAGCCAATTGACATAGAAATTCCTGTGGAGTCGACTGATGCACCATTGGGAGCTGCATCTACAGAATCTGTTGAATTACCCGAAGATAAAATTTCTTCAACAACTGCGCATTCTCAGCCCGAAAAGGCCACCGAAACAGCCACAAAGATTCCAGCCGTTGTTGATTTTGAAGAATTGGACAAATACACCACAGTTGCGACTTCTCTTGAAGAAGAACCTTCTAAGCCATTCGATGAAGAGTCAACCTCTTCTGATGAAGAGGCAGACACCCACTCTAAAACCACCATTGCGCCACAGGTTTCCGACAAAAAGAAATTACCACCATTGCCTACACCTCCATCAACAAGTAAGCCAGAAGAGGACATCAAGAAGCCAGTTACTTCTGAAAGCGAAATGGAGCAGGAGACTGACCTCACCACTCAGCCTCCATCTTCTGTGGAAAAAGACGAACATATTTCCAATGAGGTACTTCCGACAGCAACGCCTGCTGACGGTAAATCAGATTCAACAACGATTGCACCAGCCGAAGAGGATATTGTTAAGAAACCAACTGATGATGAAGTTCAACCTAAGCCAGAAGATAGCTACACCACAGTTCCTCCATCTGCCGGCAGCGAAGAGCCATCCGAGAAGGAACCATCCCCAACCCCAGCTCCAGCAAAGGATGAGCTCGAAGAAGGTGAAGAAATTGACTCTACAACCGAGCGTCCAGCTGAAGAAACAGAGAAACAGCCTATCGATAAGATTGCCTCCACTGTTTCTCCTTCTGAAGTGGAAAGCGAGCACCCAACTACAGCCGCTGCGGTTTCTATCAAGGCAGACGCTACTACGCCGGCTGCTGATGACAAGATTGATGTCAGTACGGCTTCACCTGCGGTTGCTGAAGATGATGATACAGAGGGTACCACAGTGCGAACACCTAGTGAACAGGGCACCATTGAGGACACAACAACACCCAAGACCGATGAGGAAAAAGAACCCGCTCGTGTTTCTACTACGCCTAAAACTCAAATTGCAGCTGACACTACGCTCACTCCAATTCATGTTCCTGATGCTGAAGAAATCGACACGAAGCCAATGGAAGATGTCATGTCACAAACTATTGCTCCTCAAACTGATGAAGAAAAAATTGAGGATGACGGATCTGCCACAACTTCTGCTGAAGATGCTGACAAGACTCCAGTTACAGTTGCTCCTGCTTCTCATGATGTTGAAGCAACCAGCGAAGTTAGCAAGAAGCCATCTGCAACAGAAGATGTGGGTGAGGAAACTACTGAGCCAGGTGCTGTCATACACGAAGACACCACAGATCAAGTTGCTGGTGCCAAGCTGAAGCCACCAACACCAGCGCCGACAACAGACGAAATCCCCACTAAGGCACCTGTGGAGGAAGATGAATTTGTGGCACAGACTGCGCAAACAGATCTCGAGAAGGAGACCCCAATTAAATTAACTGAGGCTCCAGAGTCTGACGATCATACTGATAAGCCATCCGACACAGAAAAGTCTACCGTGCCACCAACTGTTAAACCAAGCTTAGATTCTACCGAGGAGGATGAAGAGTCGGTTGAGTCGGAGGAGGGGCATACCCCTGCATCAGAGGATACGCATAAGCAAGAAGAAAGTGCTGAATCCACCGAATCTGAGGAGGGCGTTACTGAGCCAGCTGAAAAGAAACCTGGACACGACGAGGCCGAAGTCCCAGCTGTAGTCTCAGAGATACCACACACATCAGCTGCACCTGCTGCTCATGATGAAGCATCGACGGAGGCATCCAGCGAAGAAACAGCTACCGTACACCCAGATATTGCCAGTATTACAACGCTCCATCCACTGTTCGCACAGCACCTTACCAGCACTACAAAGGCCCCATCCATCGACGATAGACTGGGAGATGGAGAAACTGAAGCAGCACCAACCAAGCAGACCACTGAGACAACGACAACAGAATCTCCGCTCACAACAACCTCAACATCCAGCCCACAACACGAACCCATTACACCGCCTACCTATGGTCACCAGCCCCAGTACCCATCTTATCCCGAGGACGAATACGACGAAGAGGAGGTATTTGGCCCAGGTACCTGCCGCTATGCTGGCAAAATCTACGTGTCTGCTCAGCAAATCCCACGCGACGATCCTTGCGATTTCTGCTTCTGCTTCAGAAGCGACATCATCTGCTTGCAGCAATCTTGCCCGCCTCCAATTGCTGGCTGTCATGAGGAGCCAATTTCTGGCTTCTGTTGTCCCCGATACGAGTGTCCCGTGTCCATGGCCGCTGTGCTCAATATAACGACAAGTACGACAACCACAAGCACCACACTGCCACCGCATTTCCTGAACTACTCCCACGGCGATGCTGTGCAACACACTGGCTGTCTCATTAACGGCCGTTCGTATAAGGTGGGCGAACCTATCGAATCGACGAGTGGTCCCTGCATCAGCTGCACGTAAGTACACAGCCTATTATCCAAATAGAATTCAACTTATCGACTCTTCATTGAATTTCAGTTGTGGTGGCGATGGCAAGATGAAATGCGACCCACAGCAATGCGTTCCGGAGCCAACAATGCAGCAAGTGATGGCTGCTGTTGCGTCTGGGCGTAAAAGATGAACCACCAGCCATGCATACTAAATATAATTTTAACTAATTTTTAAGCACAGCAAACAAACAATCACAAAACAGATAAACAAACAGCCCAAATTGCACCCACAGAGCTGCATTCCTCACGTTTTTTGAAGGAGCAAGAACAATTTTAAAAAAAAAATATCGACTCAGAAATAGACACAGAAACAGAAGATATAAAAAAAAAAAAAAAAAAAACAAAAAAAACGAAGGTGCCAAAACTGGTGAAATTATTGCGACCCACTTAATTAGATCCAAATAATATCAGATCGAACGGAATGAAAATTTGTAAACCTTGATTTGCCGATAGATATTCGCACTTTTTCAATTGATTTTCAATTTGTTTCGGATTAGGTTACGTGACGAAGCAACCAGTGATATTGTACTGTATACATAGTATAGGTGCAATTAATTTAGAACGCGCTCACTAAAAATGAATTACTTATGTATTTGAAACAACCCCATATAACAGACCATAGCAGCGTACGATGCGCCTTGTAAAGTCGTTCATTGTGGGACCCTAGAAAATGCGATCGCTTTCAGGAGACTCAAACCTAACCCGACATTTTGGTTGCACAATCAATGACTTTACGAAGCCCCAACGATTGACTATGGAAAAGCCGTTTCTTTTTGTTTGTTTTAATAGCAATACTTTTCTTCAATGCGCTTTTATAGTATTTTAGTCATCTTATTTTAAACATTATTATTTTTTGTGTATTATTGTTGCTTCTAGTCTTCTTTTGTTGTAAGAGCAACGAAATCCGCCTAACACACGCGCAAAATGAGATCAAATCAGATCAGTTCAATTGAGTTGAGATATTGATATCTTCTATCAACTTTCCCAAGCTTTTATACTTTTATATACAATATGTGTAAAATGAAGAAACGAACGAAACTAGTTTTTATAGCAATTTTACAAGCGAACCACGAATTGCATAGTTTTTAACGGATTGAATTTAAAGTTTATGTCATTGCATTTGCGCCACCCACGCACAAATCCATCTGTGGTAGGAAAGAAAAGTAATTTAACTAGAGAGTTTTTTAAAGTCAACTGACAACGGAAACTAAACAAGCAATCGAAACCACTGTAGGCTATTGCTATTGCTCGACTGATTGAAAAGTGCACAAAAACAGTAGATATTGAAGTAGTCAATAATTTTGTATATTTTTTTTAAGATTTCAGCATACCGATTTGGTATTAACACAAACCCTGTAACATCAATATACATACATACATATGTCAGAAATTTCAATCGCTTGAGCTTTAGAGGTACGCTGAAAATTCGAAGCGTTATTAAAACACAATAAATATGAACAACAATTAGATTTATATAATCTCTAAATATAGTTACAGTTTTTAAGTATTTAACTATAAAAATAAATAAATAAATTTTAATGTAGAACTTATTTATTTTATATGTCTTTTAAGAACAGCTCTTGTGTTTCCGTAATTATCGTAATTTATATGCAAGCTTTCTTTGTAATCTTATAAATAAATACAACGCTTTTTATTGAAATGTACATCTGGGAAGTTTTATATGGAAGCACATATTTTGCCTTACTAAAGAATAGAGAGGTGTTTTAGATACTGGATTTTTTTTGATTCGTTTGTTGTTTCTAGACGCCACGCCTGATGTCAGCGTATAAAATTAATGAACTGGATTTTAAGCAAGAAAGTCTTTAATAACGGCTATTTCAAATTTTGAACATTTGATTCATCATTACAAGTTATTATCGATAGCTCTTGTCGAGTAACCATTCTTGTTATCGAAAAGAGTGCCATCACCAAAGGCAGCCGAAAACAGCTGAGCAATAAAATTCAGGCACCTAAACAAGAGCCAATATTTGTCATTTATATGGCGTGACGTAGTTAAGACACATAACTAAACATTTAGAATTAGAATAGCATAAATGAAAATGGTCAACATATCAACTATTAACTGGCTATTCGTGTGCGGCCTGTCCTTCTGTCTAGGCGGCATTGCAGTGCTCAGTTTCATGCCGCTCAGCTCAGGTAAAAGTATAAATATTTAATGTCTGAGTACAAATTGGCATATGTTTATTTTTAGACTGTATATGCCCGCTGAAGAACCCATTGAGTAGGCTTAATGCCGAGGAGCTAGCAAAGACGAAAACATTTACTAAATCTGCACATAAAATGGCAGTTTTGGTGCCATTTCGAGACCGATTCGAAGAGTTGCTTCAATTCGTGCCGCATCTGACGCAGTTTTTGCGTCGGCAGGGTGTCGAGCATCATATATTTGTGCTAAATCAAGTGGACAGATACCGATTCAATCGCGCCTCACTAATCAATGTTGGATTCCATTTCACCAGCGAAGTCTACGACTATATTGCCATGCATGACGTGGATTTGCTACCACTTAACAAGGATTTGTTATACGAGTATCCTAGCAGCCTGGGACCGCTGCACATTGCTGGGCCTAAGTTGCACCCAAAGTACCACTACGACAACTTTGTCGGCGGTATTCTGTTAGTGCGTCGTGAGCACTTCAAGCAGATGAACGGCATGTCAAACCAATACTGGGGATGGGGATTAGAGGACGACGAATTTTTCGTACGCATCAGGGACGCTGGTTTACAGGTTACACGTCCCCAAAACATTAAGACTGGCATCAACGATACTTTCAGGTAGTATTACAAGTATGTTGTACCCAAAATTCAGCTCCAGCAAAGATTTTTCCCTTACAGCCATATACACAATCGCCACCATCGTAAACGCGACACACAAAAGTGCTTCAATCAGAAGGAGATGACACGCAAAAGGGACCACAGCACGGGATTGAACAACGTCAACTACAAAATACTCAAAGTACATGATCTGTTGATCGATGGCGTGAACGTAACGATTCTTAATATATTGCTTGATTGTGATGCAAATAAAACGCCTTGGTGCGACTGTTCGGGAACAGCAGCAGCTGCTTCCGTCGTACAAACCTAGTTATAAATTGAAAACAACGAGTTTTCCGAACCTTAAGCTATGTTTATTTGTCTATTTGCATGGATGAAATGCACTGTTTGTTAGTAAACATGAACCATGCCATACAAGAATGTCCAAAAGAGCACGTAGGTGCAAAGGCCGCCCATGAATTGATTCGTCAATAGGTTTTTCCGGTTAATGAAATACTTGCGCCATTGGGTGCCCGACTTCATCAATACCAGAATCCACAGCACGAAAACGGACAAAAAGTAAAATAAGAAGCCAAGTGTTCCACTCAGTCCCAATATACCTAGAAGTAAATTGTGGATTACCAACAGCCCAAATTTAAATGAATGATAAATTAGGCAAATTACCAGCAGCGCAGCCCGAGATTGCGGCCATTGAGGTGCGACAATACTCGACCGCAGATATGTTGTTACGAATGGCGCTCTCACTGTACGCGACAATTTCGCCGGTTTTTGTAAGTTTTGTTTTCACACGGTTCATTCTATTTAATTTTTTCTTTCAGCACACCAAAATTACAATTATGTGCTGGTGTTTCTGGCAGTCACAAGTAACGGGAGAATATTGCCAGTCACGTTGACTGCCCACAACACAGCTGGGATATATCGATAGTTGTGTGTCGACGTAATTGTGAGAATGGCTCTTTCACAAACACCGTGCGAGCACAACACAGAAGAGGGCCCCATTAATTAAAATATGTGGTGATAACGAAACTTGCTGATTTATACGTGTTGAATTCGCGGGGCAAACAGTGCAATTAAACAGGACGTTTAAAGAGGAAAATGCTGGAGGATCACGTTCAACCATAAGTGCTACAAGAAAAAGATTGAAAAAAAGCAGAGCAAGTTTTCGCGGCCAGTCCACAACAAAGCAGAGCAATTAAAAAATCAATCAGAATTCTAATTGAAAGCTGGGGAGACGGTGGCAGAGGCAGAGGTAGGGCTAGGCAATATGTCACCCCCTAAGAACTGTGCTGTGTGCGGCGACAAGGCGCTTGGGTATAATTTCAATGCTGTTACTTGCGAAAGCTGCAAGGCGTTCTTTAGACGCAATGCGCTGGCTAAAAAGCAGTTTACCTGCCCATTTAATCAGAACTGCGAGATTACCGTAGTCACCCGCCGTTTCTGCCAGAAGTGCCGCCTGAAAAAGTGCCTGGACATTGGTATGAAAAGCGAGAACATTATGTCCGAGGAGGACAAGCTAATTAAGCGTCGAAAGATAGAAAACAATCGCGCCAAGCGCCGCATGATGGAGCATGGCGGATCCGATGCGGACGCAGATGCGGATGACAACAAAGTAGCTGGTGCTGTCGCCGATAGCAGCTGTAACTTGGACATGTATGGTGGCTCGCAAGATTCCCAAAGCTGTGGTTCACCTGACAGTGGCGCCAATGCCAATGGCATACCCATGGGACCCACTAGCTCAACCACAAACAAACCACCGACTGACCGGCTGGCGGAAACTAACCCGCTATTAATGACAGCCGATAAATTAGTTGATGAGATAGTAGCTGATCCAGATCGCGCATGCCAAGCTATCAATAGGCTTATGCGTACCCAAAAGGAGGCTATCTCAGTTATGGCGAAAATAATTGAATCACAAAAAGATGCCTTAAAACTTGTGTCACATTTAATCGACTATCCAGGTGAATATATTTTAAATCTAAATACATCGTTTTTGTAAAGTATTAAGGCTCTAACTATTTACAGGTGACGCACTCAAAATCATAAGCAAAATTATGAACTCGCCTTTCAACGCTTTAACAGTATTCACTAAGTTTATGAGCTCACCGACGGATGGCCTTGAGATCATTTCTAAGATTGTTGATTCGCCCAAAGATGTGGTCGAGTTTATGCAGAATCTGATGAGGTCCCCGGAGAATGCCATTGACATAATGAACAAATTTATGAACACACCTGCTGAGGCTCTTAAAATGCTAAACCGCATCTTCAATGGCACAAACACGACAACAGAAACTGGCCGGAAGCCAATGCAGGTTGAGACCAACGATTCTGAGGAGCCAGAGTTGGGCCATTACCAACAGTGCGAAAAACAGTCTCAAAATGTCCGCGTTGATACTGTCATTCAAACAATGCTGCACGGCAGTCCATCGGGGAGCAGCATAAGCAGCATAAACACAGGAGAAACTTTGGTCACCTCGCCATTAAGCAGCATTGCCAGCCCAGCCAGTAATATTCCCATTGACTTGCACTATCAGTCACCCAGTACGAACCATATGCCGGACGAGCTGCCCAGCACATCGGGTAGCCATCCTTTGCCTTATATAGTCAATTCGCCAGATTTCGATGTGAAAAGCTTAAATCAACCCAACTACTATGATGAGTTCAGTGTGGATGGCAGCGTCAGCATCAATTCGATAGAGTCTGTGCTCTCGGAAGTGATACGCCTCGAGTATCAGGCATTCAACAGTTTACAGACGCCTGCGTCTCGCATTAAAGATGAAATGTATCATGATGCTGGCGGCATGCCGTCATCCTATATGGGCCAGTCGTACGGTGGCTGCAAGGCATCCAGACAGGAACATCTACAGCAACAGCAGCCCATTTGCGCACCCTCGAGCATATTTATGGAGCGCGACCTGAACGAGGCTGAGCAAATGAAGCTGCGCGAACTGAGACTCGCCAGTGAGGCTCTCTACGATCCAGTTGATGAAGATCTCAGTGCCTTGATGATGAACGACGAGCGCATTAAGGTGACCGCCTATTTCTTATTTTCAGTAAAAATCCAAATTTACACTCACACCTGCACGGTCGCTTATCTAATCGGGCACGCTCAATCGCGATAGACAGTTAGCACCTGGCGAATGAGTCAGTGCATCTCACATTTTCTGTGTGCCTAGCACGCCTACTCTGTTCAATGTAAACAAAAAGCATAAAATAATGTCGCAATGGAAATGCACACACCTGTTGCTGAGCCAGGCCAGACACACGGATATAAGCAACAGGCACCACAATCGTTTGAATCCCCAATACCATTGATAGCTTTATCAGTCTTACGTTAACAACATTACGGTACTATCACCAGCCATAGCAGGCGCACATAAATAACCCCCCAGCGGTTGGAGCGTCAAAACAAATTTCTTGTTTTGTGTGGCAGCTTTTATGGCCATTGTATTGACTGTTTACCACTGCTGTTCCGTTTCGATTAGCACATTTTGTGCTGCTAATTAGGAAAAATGATACATTTCGAAAAATATGGAGCCCACAGGTGTACAGTGCTCTGATAAGCGGTGGCCCTTATTATTGAATCATATTTTAGAGACAAACTCGAATAGTGTGATAATTAATGTTATCAATTTCCTTTACAACCCACAGCCCGACGATGCGCGACAAAGTCCAAAGCTGCTACAGCTCATCAATCTGACGGCGGTGGCTATAAAGCGTCTTATTAAGATGGCCAAGAAAATCAGTGCATTCCGTGACATGTGCCAAGAGGATCAGGTGGCATTACTCAAAGGTGGCTGCACCGAAATGATGATAATGCGTTCAGTGATGATTTATGACAACGATCGATGTGCCTGGAAGGTAAATGACATATGCATTATATATATATATATATATATATATATATATATATATATATATATAACTGTGTACTGTATAAATCATCTTGCAGGTGCCGCATACCAAAGAGAATATGGCCAATATACGCACCGATCTATTAAAGTTTGCCAAAGGGAATGTCTATGAAGAGCATCAGAAGTTCATAACCACCTTTGATGAGAAATGGCGCATGGATGAAAACATTATTCTTATAATGTGTGCCATTGTGCTTTTTACACCGGCGCGGGCGCGTCTAATTCACAAGGACGCCATTAGGCTGGACCAAGTAAATAGATACATAATCATACCTTAACTCGAGCCTTTTAATAATCGGAAGTCCCTTGTCTTTTAGAATTCCTATTATTATCTTCTGCGAAGATATCTGGAGAGCGTGTATCCAGGCTGTGAAGCAAAGAATGCGTTTATTCGATTGATACAAAAGATTTCGGATGTGGAGCGTCTGAATAAATTCATGATCAATGTTTACCTAAATGTGAATCCTTCCCAGGTGGAACCTTTATTGCGCGAAATATTTGATTTGAAAAATCACTGAGACAAATTTGGAATTGGGCATCAAATGCCACATAGGATAATCGCTGTGTCGCTGTTGTTGTTGTTGTTTATATAGTCTATCAGCTGCAATTTGTTTTTGTTTTTCGCTTTTAAAGTTAGATTTAAATCAAATGTGATTGTTAGATTTGCATATAACACGTAGTTTTTATATTTCTACATCAAAGAGAGTATATTTTAGGTACAAAATGCAAAGCAAAATATAAACAAATGTACACATTTTAGTTTTCAATAAACTATATTTAAAGCCACAAAACTACCTGAATGAGTGGAAAAAACAAAACGAGATTCCAAGCAGATGCAAATAAGCTTCATCGAGTTTCTAAAATATGTTTCACAACGTCTGCCGTCAATAATTAAAAAATACTTCTATAAATTGGAATTTTATTGGCAAAAGGCAAAAACCCCAACTGCAGCCGATATGTTAACAAGAAATTTGATTATACAACCCTTCAATTTTTATTTTATTGTTTTAACGCAAATCACAAATGTATGTAAAAATTTGGAAAGCAAATGTTGATATGTCGGTTGGCCAAATATTTCAAGCCGAATCGATTTGGCAATAGCCTCACGCGAACAAAACCAGCACATAACTATGCTCCAACTTCAAGCGCAGAGCCACGTCCCATGTTTACGTGTGCTACGACTGTTGGCCGCAACATACATAGTCAAATATGTCTAATGATGGTAATATTGAAAGTACAAGCTCTCTCTTCACAGCATGCATGCGCAGGTGGATGAACCTGATACAATTGTCAGCACGGTATCGCAATTTTCCCTCAATGTTGGCGCTCAGGTTGATTCACGACAGTCCTTCGCCCATTGCAAAAACTCATCCAAGGCGCTAACTGCCAGATTGCGCGCCAATGCCTTTACGCGCAGATTCCGATCGGTGGTGATGAGCACCAGTTCCGTTTGAATAAAGCACTTCCCATCTATAAGAGCATAATTAATCTAATTAAGGTCGAATAAGTCTACAAAAGGAAGCGTTATACCTCTGCATTGTTCAGAGCTGGTGTTCTTGGAAACAGCAACAGCCGTTGCCAGAATCTTGTCATCGTTGGAGGCGTACTCCTCCTCAACGAGTGCAAACAACGAAGCATTAATAACAGAGCCTTTTGTTGTAGCGCATCTAAAAGAAAACAGTAAAGCATTTATAAAATGATCTGCAACTTGATTCGGTAAGCGTTCCCATACTTAACATTATTTTTGGCAGATCTAATGAACTCCAGAGACTTTTTGGCCCGCGATGATACTTCATCGAAATGATGAATGCGTTGCGTCTGCTTAGAGCTGCGATACGAATCCAACTTGACACCCTTAGATAGTCCGTCAAGCTCTTTTACCACCGTCAGCGGTATAATAATAGTATAGCGCTTAAATTCCATTGATAGTTTTTCAATATCCTCCAGACAATCGATAAAGCAATTGGTGTCAGGCAAAAGGTAACGCGGACGCACCTCAATGTACAATTTGGAATCAACTAATTTCAGAATTTCCTCCAACTTGCTACTGCAAATCTGTTTGACTTTGGCTTTTGCCTCGAGTTGTTTTTTCAGTTTGCACAGTTGCGACACATCCGCATTGGCAATCGTCGAGCACTGTGCGTCCACTTCTTCTAAACTTGGCTCGGATGTGCAACTCTCAGCAGACGTGGATACAACGCAGCTTTCCACATTAAAGTCATTAAGTGCCACTTGCATAGCGGTGTTTAAATCCTCGATTGTGAAGCTCGCATTTAGCGGCAGCTGCAATGCTTCCTGATGTTGTATGTAAATCTCCTGGAATAGCAATATTTGTCGTATGCGTTCCACAAACTGCACACGCTCGGAACTACGATGGCAGCATTCTCTGCTAACCACATCACGACCCAATGGCTCAAAACCGCTAAGCACAACGTCCTCATCCAACGCGACATTGGTAAATCTAATGTCTGTATCTGTATCCAGTTTGTTGTATATGATTTCAAGGTGATCAAAAAGAATTTGCAGCTCCGCCCAGCAGTCAATGAATGAGTGACTATAAGATGAAAATCTAGTATTAAAAACAAATGCTAATAGAATTCAAAACTTACTCTTCAGTGCGCACAGGCTCCCAAAGGTTCACATTGATGGTCAGCCAATGGGTGTAGATCTTCACAAACTGCAGATAAGTGTTGATCCGTGTTAATCTGCAAAGAAACAACGTTTAATACTGGGTCATAACTCCATTGCTTTCACATACTCTTCATCTGTGAAGCATTGCAGATCGGCAGACTCCTCCGTGAGACCTGCAAGTTGTTCATTAGCCCTGCTCAGCATTAGACCAAACAATGCGTTGGCAAAGTTGAAGCTATGATAACGCATTTCACGACGATTAGCTAAAAAATATTCAACGTTTTAATTAGTCTGCTGATAAAGAGTTATCTGCGTTTACCTTTTAGCTTGTTATGCTCCAATACAAATACATTTAGTGCCACCATTTTCAAAAGTTTGGTGCGCGACACGAGATTTTCATACTTGAGAGCCGCACCGAGTTGAACCTGCAGCTTTCCCAGCTGCTGGTACATACACTCAATGCTGTAGATGACAAAAAGAGCTGCAATCGCCGTTGAATTAAGTCATTTTTTATGCTTACTCAGTGGCCGTAAAAAGTTTGCCCACTAGATACAGGTACAGCGAGACAACGCGTGGTAGCAAATCCTCTGCTGACATTTCATCGTAGCGATTTACTTCGGTTATAGTTGGCCTGTTCTTCGCCTTGGCTTTGACATCGGTTCGATGCAAACGCCTTATGCCATCTGGATAAATCCAAACTTCCCTGCGCATTTGCTTTGATTTTTTGGGCTTGCTAGCGGCACAATGCATGGGAGATTGCTTCATTTCGGTTTCCTCATATTTGCGGCGGATTTCATCAAACAAATCAAGTAGACTCTCTTTGGCCGATTGTATAGCATTGGATGTTAATAGGCTGCGCATATAATAATACACAGCATCGAAGCGCTTGTGCTGTGGAAGAGTTATGCGACAGCGTGGTTAGTAAATTAAAATGCACAACTATAGAAACAATGGCTTACACTATAAATAGCAACAATGGCCAATTGGTTATAGGGCGCTCCATTGCCAGGCACAAGCTCCTGAGCCCGCTGGTAGTATTTGCAGGCCTCTGTAAAGTCCGTTAATTGCAAGTGGTTCGCGCGATAGCGTGACAAGTCGCCCAAGCAGATGAGCAAACGTTGAGCGACCACCTTTACTGCGCTTTCACAGCGCGCGGAGATGTACTTGGCCATGAGCTTGTCAAAGAGCGCTCGGTAAAACTTTATAGACTGCTCGATGAGCAGTAGCATGTGCCTTTGGGCCACATTCGTTTGCTGTCGCTTTAAATACTCCCGCACATTGTAAAAGAGAAGCTTCCAAAAAAATGCGTCCACTTTGTGTTCACACACGAATTTCAACTGTTCCAGCAATAAACAGCAAAACGCCTCTTGTAACTGTCCATGCAAGCTGCAAAAGTTCTTCCAGTTCTACAAACAATATAATTAGCACATAATGAATCATCGATTCAATCAAATCTGCAAATACTTACGATAAGAATTAAATTTCGTTGCTGCAACACCATTAGCTGATCGTACAATTGCACAATAATCTTGACGTTATCCATATTCAGTAGCTGCTCAAACCACGCCGGATGGTCGGTGGTGAGACGTACGCGTGACAGTGGCGACAACGGGGTTTGTTCATGCATCCGTGCCGAACGCGTACGGTTGCGTCTACGTGTTCTATGCACAGTACGCACGCTGTCAGCGCTCGATGCAGCTGTGGTTATTGCTGGACTGGCATTTACCCGCAGTATGCCAGGTATGCCCACTTCGGTCGACCTGTTCTCCAAGCTGCTGCACCCGCTGGTATCCAAAACGGGTGCGGATATTCCTGTCGTATTTCCAGCATTTTCCCTCGGCTTGCTCAGAATTTTGACTGAAAAGATATTCACGCGCGCGCAAAAACACACAGTTATACACACAATATACATATATATATATATAGAGAGAGAAACCGCTGTTAATTGTTGCGCGCTTAAGTGTGACTCATGTATCTATATTACCTGGCCTTGTACTGGCTGGTGGCGTAGGTTCCGTATTTTCAGCATCCTCTGCTGCGTGGCTGTTGTTACTACAGCTTGCAGCGAACTTGTTCTGTAGCCGTTTCGGTAGAGTCCCAATGATTAGCGATATATCATTTTGATCTTTTGTTCCCTTTCGACTCATATTTCGAATGTTGCTTTTCCAGCTGCATTTATTCCGTTTTGATGCGTTGAACGTGATTCCCCTTTGTTTTCTATAATCAAAATGTTACTATCACAAGTATTACGCAGAAATATCTACACAAATGCCTGTGTGACCAGTTTACAGATAAAAATAATAAATACTATTTCAGCTATCGATAGTTTTGCAGCCTGAAAATATACGATACCAAGTTGAAGTTGAACACCAGGACATAACATTATTCCTGTTGCTTAAGAAAATTTGGATGACTGTTATTTGTTCTATTTAAAAACTATGCTACCTAAGTTTTGCTGAAATTACACAATGAAATATTATAAAAACAGTGTGACCATTTCACAACATTAAAAAATACTTTACGGCGAAATCCACATTCAGATTTGCCTTTTTACCTTGTACTTATCACACAGTTAATTTGGAACCACAAAGCGAATTGAGTAACAAAAACAATTGCAAAATTATAGCTATTTGTTTGTAAATAATAAAAAAAACTTATAATTACTGAGCGCTGCTTTGATTTATCGAATCTAAGCGCAAAATATGGCTCAGGTTGCTTATTTAGACAGCATGCTGCGTGAGTATTTAGTGTATCGAGGATATTCAAACACCCTGAAAGCTCTCGATGTGGAGCAGCGCAACGAAAAGGATCAACATTTTCGTGCGGAGCGCTTAATAGAACATTTCAATGCCGCTGTGCAAGCGTCGGACCTCAAGGCGCTGCGCAGTCTATGGCTGCACTTGGACAACAACCTGTTCAGCAAGCTGGATCACACATATGCCGTTGGTAAGCTACAAGCTAAACATTGCCTCCTCCTGTTCCATTTTAATTATGTTTTGACCTGCATTGCAGCCGTCAAGAAACTGGAAAATAGCCTGCTCAAATACTATCTGGTGACAGCGTACAGCAATAATAAATCGGACAAGATATCCGAGTTCTTTAACACATTGGCCAGCGAGTTGCATCAGCAGAGCGAGTGGAAGGACTGGTTCTGTAAGATGAGCATCCATTTGGCTTCAGTCACATTGTCATTTTAAAGTATTTTACAGTCTTCTCATTCTGCAAGAATGCCGAGGATTCACCCACATTTGCACTCTTCTTTACCAAGCAGTGGCAGGACACTTTGCTGCTGTCGCTGCGCAACTTTCTGACCACGGTCTACCAGTGCCTGCCACAGCCGTCGTTTGTGCGCGCCGAGCAGGAGGCCGCGCACATGCAGCGGCTGCAGGATGATAATACACGCCTGCGTGCACGCCTACTGCAGCTGCAGCAGGAGCAGCAACAGCAACTAGCCAGCGCATCTAGCTCGCAGAATCTAAGCGGTGGTGATGGCGGCGGCACTCGACGCCGCAGCTCGTATCGGCAGCAACAGAGCCTCAGCGATATCTTGCCCTTCGACATCAGTCCACCGGGACACATAGTCGATGACTTTTGTATAATTGCCTCCGAGGCGAGCATTGTGGGTCAGGCCAGTGAAGTACAGGCACGCGGGCTTAAATTACTCATACGCAACATTGGCTCCGGCAGCTCGCCAGTGATGACCCGCAAGGACAATGGCGGCGACAAGTCATCGTCCAAACATAGATCCGGCAGCGTGGGCCGTAGTTGGATTTAGTTTTAAATTAATTAATATATATAAATATATAAATAAGTATATGTTTTCTTCGGTTGATATTTTATTTATTTGCGCTTCATCGTAATCGAATAGACATACAAAATAAAGAGCAAATGCATGTAAGGTATTATTTAATTGCAATAAATAACGTAAAATTACAAATAAATATTTGACGATTCGTGTATAAAATATTTCGGTCTATACAAGCAGCACAATTTAAAAAATACAATTTACTGTATAATGAATATTTTTTGTATATAGCAATCAATTAGTTTATATATCTAGAACTGTATAAGTATACGTAAATTTTGCATAAAGTAGCATCGATTTTGACTCGGAACATAGATGCGTTCCATTCTATATAAGATAAGTAAATGCGTTTTATCAGCGTCCTTTCTTGAGTTTGCGGAAGTGAGCGAAGCGCCAAATGCAATTGCTTTTCTCGAATTACGTTTCCTTATGGAATATGTATATGTATATGTATGTATCTATGTATTTATGTGTGTATGCATATGTATATGGATACGGCCATCCCCTGCCTCTACGGCAAACAACGACGGGTTTGACCCGCATTTGTTGCCTCTGCCTCCTTACAGCGCCGTCTCGAATGCTGGCAGTGACGTGGGCGCACTCACATATTTATTGCTATCCGCGCTAATTGCTGCAACTGGGGCGGTGCCACTCCGGCCAAAGCTGGGCTTCAGCTCACCGCGCATAAAGTTATTCTCATCGGTCTGCAGAAAGAAATTGCGCTTTAAATCGAAACTGGAGACGGCCACAGAACTGGGACTGGTGCTATTGGCTACAGTACACGCTGCTGTTTCATCCGCCTCGGAGCCGGCGCGCGAGCCACCGCTATTATTGGAGTGATCCTCATCGCTGTTGGCCTCTGGTATTGTGGTGGTCATGATGTCCGTGCGTGGCACAACGGAGGCAACTGCGGTATTAGGGCCGCGTATCTTAGGCGCAAAAGTCTTTGAGGGTGAGCCGAATTGGCCCTGGCGAAGCATTCTGCGATTGGCAAAGGTCTTTGGCGAGCCGCTCAGGTCGAGCAGCTTTAAGCTGGAGTTCAACGTTGGCTTAGACGCACCAGGCGTCGCAGTGACCAGCTTTTGGCTTGACGCAGTCGGATTACTCGCCGGCGCGGTCGACTTCTTGAGCAGCTCCACGGCGGACACTTTGCGCTGCACGGGGCTCGTCTTAGCGGACTTGGCCAGCAACAGCTTCTTGAAGTCCATCAGCGTCGTCTTGCTCTGACCAATGCGATCCGCGCATGTGTTCAGTCGTTCCGGTGAGTTGTCGTTCCAATTGCGCGCCGGCTGCTTCATGGGCGGCATATTCTCCGAGACGCTTGTCTCCGACCGCGTGGGCGTTGAGGTCAGAAAGTTGCCGCTGCCAATCCTTGGCACAATGGGCGATATATTGCTGCGGCCATCAGCTGCAGCGGCAGCATTGGAAGCGGATGCGTTGGCAGCAGCGGCACGCGCCACACGCTCAGCACGTCGTATAGGCGTGGCATACAGATCATCCCGGCATGTTACATTGCCGCTGGACAACGGCTTCGGCTGGCTTCGCCGGTTCTGCAGCGTCCAATAAACGGGCGCACTGCGCTGAAAAGGTGTGGCATCCGTGGCCTGTGTATTCAACGGTGCTGGCTGCACTTGCTCATAGATATTAGAGAAACGTTGATACCCTACGAAAAATAAAAGAAGGCCAAGGCCAAAGTCGATCAGTTGAGCTCAGTTAATGGACATGGAGCTGTTTTAGTAGGCGTTTTAAAAGTGCGATTACCCAAAAATAAAGGAGTCCTCAATTACAGAAGCATTCAAGCAAGCGCAAGCCGTACGTACCTGTAGACGTTTCACTGTACCTGTCTGGCTTCTCCCAAGGAGCGTATGTGTTATGTACACATGTGGTGCAATAGATGCGTTGGGTGTGCCCAGAAATGCATGGTGGTGCTGGTGCTGGGTGTTGGATTGGGGTGGTTGTGGTGGTGGTGGTGGTGGGGGTGCAGTGTCTATGGTGCCCATTAGCCCATGTTATGCAGTGAATGATTATTATTCTTTTTCTTTTCATTTGCTTTTTATGATACAATGATTGATGCGAAGGTCTTTTTTCTTTTTCTCAATTTATTTTCAATATTCTACTTACGATCGGTGGGCTTTTTATTTGTGTGGAATGTGATTGAACTTAAGAGCTCTACTTAGCTAGGTACTTAAATGTGAATAGATTCTCATTTCATTTCAAACTAGGCGCTAATTTTTTAAACTACAAACTGTTATGTTGCGTTAGTTGGGCGAGGTGCAAAAAACTACTACTACTACAATATATACACACATACATATTAATATAAATTATGCAATAGAAGTTTTTTGCACGTTTGTTACAATGTTTGAAATCATATTAAAATCAAGCAAATCAAAAAAAAAAATTGAATTTGTTGTCTTAAAAAATTAGCGTCATAATTTGTCATAAATTGAATACTTAATGCATACATTTGTGATAATTCTTGTTGTGGAACAAAACATAATCGGTGCAAAAAACTTTACAGAATTTACAATACACATGTGTTGTTGTAATGTTAATAGAACGAATAAGTTTATGTATTTTATAATTAGTTACAGTTAAAACATATAAAAAACACATAGTTTAAGTACACACACATAACACTTAATTAAAGGTGATTGTTAAAAAACAGTTAGTTAAACAAATCAAAATCATACAAAAAATTGTTTATGCTCCCAAGGCGGAAAAACAGAGCAAATTAAATATATGTAAAGTTTGCAGCAAGTGCTGATTGAATAAACATATGTTAATAACAAACAGTAGATAATTAATAAATTAAATAGCTAGCATTTCAAGTGTACAGTAATAGAGAGATATAGAAGGACTCTCATAATTTCCATTTTTTGTGCTTCTTTTGCAAGGCAGACTCGGTTTGCAACGATCTGGCAGCACTGATATTTTAAACGTAGGTGTTAAGTTGGCCGCAGCTGACCACGTGTTAAGTTGGCTGCAGAAGCGGAACTCCTAGAGCAGTTTTCAGTAAGGCGGCCAAGACGTTGAATAGAGCGAGCTTGGGCATTGAACCTGTGACTAAACAGCGGCTGGGACTGTTAAAAACTCGCTTCCGGCAACACTAGCCCATTGAACACGTACGAAACAAAGACGGAGTCTGTGTAGACTGAGACTTAGAAAAGGCTGGCAGACCGCATAGGCCTTGCTAAGATAGACAATTGCCGTGTGCTGTTTGCTCAAGACACCCACTTGACAACGTGTGGCAAGGCGAGGCACAACTGGAGTGGTGTAACTGCTGTTATATTTTAACTAAAGGTCAAGTTAAAGACAAGCTAATGAGCCGCCCTGCTACCAGATTTCCGTAACCTCAAACTTTTGCAGGAGACGTTGGCGTCTAGCGCCGTTATCCTCATTGGGCAAAATGATTTTAAAGGGTCGCAGCAAGACGCTCTCCACGAACGATTTGTGGTATCTGCTGTGAGGTGTGGGTGGCAACTGCATGTGTGGCGCCACCAACTCATCCGCCTCCTCCTCCTCCTCGTCCTCTTCCGAGTCGCAGGCAGTGTCATTGTCTGGCTGCTCGCCCTCGTCTGGCACGCTGGTCGTGTGCAATGCGGGTGAATCATCAAAGTTCTCGAGCGATTTGTTCTTCAAATAGGAGGAGTCAATGCATGTGGTCGATAGCGAAAACTCATCGACCAGCCGCTCAAAGGACTTGGCTATCTTGCGCTCAGCGGGGCAGCCAGAATTTGGTGTGGTGGACACCAATTGCATATTGCTCAAGTTGCGCAGTTTCAACGAACTTGTTGCATGCAACATAGGGGGCAATGCACCGTAAGGTGGCGTCGACAACAAACAGTTTTCCTTATTCATTTCCAGCTTCAGCTCATCGTTGGCCAGCCTATAGCTGTTGTTGCGCTTGAGCGCGACAGAGCGGCATTTGCTCTGAGTGGGAGAGGATGTGGAGTTGGGGCTAGGTTTGGGGGCAGTTGCATTCGAAATGGAAAACTGCGTTTCAGCAATTGGGTCAATCGATAAAACGGCGGCAGTTGCCGATTCGGCCGGGGGTGGGGGTGTGGGTGTGGGTGTGCGTATTGCAGCTTCAGCTATGCCATTTACTTTCGTTCGGGGCGGCAGCGGTGGGGGTGGGGCTGGGACTGGGACTGGCATTATATGGGGGCTGAATTGGGGGTTAGTTGATGGCGTGGCAGCAACCCTCACTTGCGTGCCACAAGCTGTGGGGGGAATCGGCTGTACACATGAAATGCTGCCCATTGATGCGAATTTTGACTTGCTCAGCAACAAATTTGAGTGGCTGCTGTTGTTGTTAAAAGTTGTTGTCGTTGTGGTAGTAGAGTGTAGTAGCGTATTATTTACAATGGCAAGGATTTGATTTGGGTACGTCAAAGCGGTTACGTTAACAAAATCACTGCAACTGGCATTCAAATGTTGTTGCTGCTGCTGTGGCAGTTGTTGTTGCTCTGGTTGTTGTTGTTGCAGTTGTTGTTGGGTTGCTGTTCGCAGAATCTTACCTTCTTCCGCAGAGCTGGCCGAGGCGGTAGTTGTGGCCGATGATGAACTGGTTGCCGTGGAGCCAGTGGATGAATTCGATTTACTGGAGGGCGAGGGCATCATGCCGGCTGTGGCCACAGGCGTCGTAATTGTCTCGTAAAAGGGATTCGTATTGTTGGCCAGCAGTTGCTTCTGCTCCTGGTAGCTGCTGCCCGGCTGATAGGCGGTCATTTTGCTGAGCGGCGATTTGGCTAATATTGGACGAACATTGGCCACCTTGCGATTGGCCGCGATGCCGCCGTTTAATAACAATAATTTGGCGCTCTTTGTTGTTGCTGCCGCGGCTGCTGCTGTTGCACTTTCACCCGTGGCTTCTCGTGTTGCACTGAGCAGCGCACTTTCGGTTTCCTTCACATACGGCCCAGGTGCAAAGGTGGTGTGCGCTCCCTTGCGTCGCTTCAGACTGTCCGAATCGTATATGATGCGACCCTCGGCAGTTGTGCGCACCCGACGCTGCCCGCCGCTCGGCGAGATGAGCGACTTTTCCTCGCGCAGTTCGCTGATCTCCGCGTACATGGGCACGCCGCTCTCACCGCTCAATCCGCCCGCCCCGGCAGGGGTGGCAGCAGCAGCAGCTGCGACAACTGGCTGCTCTGCGCAGGCTTCGCTCTTGCTGCCGCCGCTTGCCGCATGCCGACGCAAATGCTGTGGCAGCTCGTTGAGCGAAACGTACTCCGAGGGTTGTTGTTGATTCGCCGCTGCCTGGTCGGGTGCCACCCTCCTAACTATGTCATTGGAATAGTAAATGGCGAGGTTGTTTTTGGCGCGATTGTGCTGCCTACTGTTGTTGTTGTTGTTGTTACGATTGTTGTTGTTGTTGCTTATATCTGCTATAGTCACATACTCGCCCGCCAGGTCGTAGAGCTTGTCGTCATCCACAGCGCTCGCCGCGGCGGGCTTTGGTGGTGAGCAGCTTTTGCCTGGCGACCTTTTGATGGCCGCCGGCAACACGACTCTCAGTTTTTCGAGCATGCCTCCGAGAGCTTTTGTTGGTGTGTGCTTTAGCTCGTTCAGGTTGTGGTCCTTGCTGCTGCTGCTGCTGCTGCCTTTGTTGGTGGGAGTCAACTGCTCGGGCACATCCGATTCAGTGTCGACGTCCAGCTGCAGGCTGGTCAGCGTACGCTCTGCATCCTGCGACTGATGCTCATCATCATCGCTGGTGGTGGGCGTTATGATGCACATGGAGGGTATGCGCTTCGCATTGATTGCCGTCTTCTGTTTGATGCGCTCGATGCGCTCCACGCCCTCCAAATCCGAGCACTCCGAGTACTCCAAATCGACGGGCAGCGGCTGCGCCGAGCGTGGCGCACCATCCTCTGCATGATGCTGCTGCTGCTGTTGCTGTTGCTGCACTGCATCCTCCGTCTTGGCAGATAGCTTCACATTCCGCTTTATGGTGCCCGTTCGCTCCAGAGTGCTACCAATGGTGCTGCTGCTGTAGCTGCGCTCCAGGGTGCTGCTGCTGGCGCTGTTGCTGTGGCTCTGGCTGTGCTTGCCCAGCGAGCTGCTGCGCTCGGGCACATCCGGTCCGGTGCAGACGGCCACATTCATCAATGTGGTGCACACGGTGCCCGCGGAGCTGGTTGTGGTCGATGTGGAGCCGCGTCCGTATAGCTCATATTCGTTCTCCGCATTGAGCACCGTCTGATTCGATTGGCTGCCAAAGGAGTAGCTGCTGGTGTGCAGGCTCTGCTGCAGCGGCGTCATCGGCGGTTCCTCCTCCTTCAGCGTGCGCAGACCGCTGTCCATGTGGAAGGATGTGTAGTAGCCCTCCGTGTCGCAGCTATATGCGGAACTGGTCTCATCGTCCAGATGATTGGGATAACCGCCCGCATCGCCCTGCAGCTCTGGCGTGGCGGTGCCCTCGCTGGTCACACTGCTCGAGGCGGAGGTGTTGAGGAATCGCCGCCGACTCAGCATGGACGAGGGCGGACCGCTGCTGCTGCACGGCTGGAAGCTGGACACATTCAGCGAGGTGTTCGAGGCGCTTGACTTCGGCTGCATGGTTATTTCGCTGCCAATCGAGGCGCGTCCCGACTCGGAGCTGGCGCTCCAGTTACCGCTCGACGAGTGCGGCTGCTCCTCCTTGCCAGCCGCGTCCAGGCGATGTAGCCCATTGCGTCGCTGTCGGTTCAGTGTGGCCGTTTCACGCATCTTGACGTGCGCCGCGGACGACGCCGCCAGCGAGGACAACTGCAGCTTGCCGCGCAGCTGGCCGCTGCTGGACACGCTCATGCTCTTCTCCGACGAGGAATACGAGGGTTTTCGTTCGTGCGAAAACCGAGATTCACTCTTCTTGGCAATCAGCTCGTGCACCACGCAATCATCGTCAATGTCTCGGGTCGCGTCGCGCTTGGACTTGAGCCCAGCGTTGGCTGACGGCGCTGGCACCGAATGGCCATGGCCGTGGCTCGGTTCCGGCTTCTCCGTGGAGCTGTTCTGCGAACTGCAGCCGCTGGTATCCAGCTGGCTCGTCTCGCCAACGCCACTCAGCTCGCCATTGCGCTGCATAAACTTGAACCGATTGCGGCCCCATTGCTTCAGCGAGTTCAGGCGGGTCAGCGTGCTCTTCCCTTTGTCGTAGGGTAAGGCAACAGATTCCTTTTTTAAGATGTCGCTCGATTTGCTGCGTCCGAATTTCTTGGATTTCTTTGTGGTATCCACAGTTGCCGCGGGCGCTGGCGATGTGGCATTCGATGGATGCTTGGAATCCGCATTGCTGTTGTGTGGATGGGGAAAATGTTTTGTTTTTGTTGTTGTTGTAATGTTGTGGTTGTTGTTGTTGTTGGGAAACATAAAAAAGAAAATATATATATGTTTGGATATGGTTAGCTAAATTGTAAGACTTGATGAAGATGTGTGCGATATTTGGTTAGAAGATAGACCGAAAACAGTTCAGCACAGAGACAGAAAGAGAGAGAGAGAGATTGAGAGAGAGGGAGAAGAATTTTGGAGGAAAATGTTTGCCAATCTATAAAAATCATTGTAAGGTGTGGAGCCCAAAAGATTTGGCCTAATAATTTTGATTTTTTTCTTTTCATTTTCTGTTTCTGGTTAATTTCAGACAAGTTATCAATTTTTTCATTTTAAAACGAGCGAGACTTTTCAGATACACACACACACACAGCCAAAGGAAATGCTCTGGGAAAATGTAGATTAATTAATGGCACAGTTCAAAGTTTAATTTTCAAGCAAACATTTTTTTCTTTCAGTTGCTGCTCTGCTTTCTGTTGATTATTAAAAGCGATTACAACATCTACATTTCTGAGTGCCCCCAGCTGAAGATTTTGTTTCGTTTGTGGGGCAGCTGTGGCATGCACTTATAGACAGCATAGGGTGCACACACATGCATACACACACTCACACACACGCACACTAATTATGCCGATAAGCAACGCTTTTCATTCAATTCACCGCCCCAAAAAAAAAAGAAAATCTTCAATTGAGCGATTTGCCACGGATTTGGGTGCAGGTCAGCTTATATATGAAAACATTTGCTACATATGCACCAAATAATATGATATTTGAGCTTTTAAGAGGTGTGTTCCAAACATAACTATAGTTCAGTTCAAGAAATATGACTGGAATAACGATTTTTGAGTATTTTTTCAATATTAAGTACTTAGTTATACGAACAGTAAAGAGCAGACCAAATGTTAGCTCTTTATATCCGAGCATAGTCTATAAATCAATCCAAAATAATTTTAAGAAATATTGTAACTGTAATCCCTATAAATGATTTTGAATTTTGATATGTTATTTGATATTACAATATTTTCGATTTTAGAAAAATTACAACTAAAAAATGTAGCTGTTCTTTTCATATTACGCAATGTAGTTTTAAGTACGACTGGAAATTCATGAAGCGTTTTGGAAATTTGTGTATAGCTTTTGGCATCTTCTCGGGTAACCCTCGCATTGCATACATAGCTCACAGTTTGACGGGCAATTGAGTTCAGTTGAGTTTGGTTTTGGTTTGCTTTGCATATTTAATGCTGATCGCACAGATATTGAACAGCATTGGCATATATAGCATACAAACTCACACAGATGCACGTGTGTGCCTGGCTAAGTGTGTGTGTGTGTGTGCGTGTGTGTGTCTACTGTGCAGTTTCATGTTGCATATGAAACGCAGTCAAACGGAATGACGACAACGTCGCAGGCATCGGGTCGTGGGTTTTGTGGGCAGACGACGCCAACAAAACAAATAAGATTTATGAAACTTTTAAGCAAAAGGCGTCAGCCAAATGCACTGAAGAAGTACGAGAGGCAACAAAAAAAACCCAAAAGCCAACAGGAGTTGTTGTTGGTTTTTGACTGGTTGGCAAAAATCCTATAGAGAGTACGTGGCTCCACGCCTGATTTATGCTGATGATGCGCAGGCTGAGTGCTGGGGGAGCTGCGAGTGGGCAGCATGTTGCTGTGCAACATGACAGCTGGCAACAATGTTGCCAAGGCAAATGGCAATAGAGCGTGCCTGCGTGTGGGTGGTTTGTGACTGCGCTGAATGCAAGAGGTGAATGTCTCGGATATGAATGATGAATTTTATGATATATGCGAGCAATGCGTGTTGTGTGTGTCGTATGTGTGTGAGTGTGTGTGTTTGTGTGAGTGTGTATTGGTTTCTAATGTTGAGTAATTTGTTAGGCTGTTTTTTTTTTCTTTGGCGTTTTGCAATTTTGTTTTAAGAATTATCTTTGGCTGGCAGAAAAATATGGTTTTCAATTAGCTTGGCTGAAAAAAAAATTATGTTGCTTGCAATTCATTTTAATTGGCATTGATCTAGACAGAAACAAAAATCTTGTAAACTATATATGCAAACACAAACAACAATTAATAAGATTATTTACAATTCAATTTTCTTTTGTACAACATTCAGTTTAATCAATTTTCTTCATTTAGTTCGGCATGCGCTGTGTGCTCCTAATTTAGCAAACAATTACAAAAAATTAATTACATAATACAGAATACAAAGAGGCACGAAAAATGTGTATAACTTTTCGATAATTGTCTAAAAAATGTAGAAAACAAATTAACTGAATAACCGTAATAAAAATGATTCAAATACTAAACAGCATAACAAATTTTGCAGCTATAGACTTTTGATTTTCGAGTTTTCACACAATAATTTCATAGGAAAATGCAATTGATATAGTTCGTATGGATCAGATATATGTACGATATGTATATGAGTTGGTCTCAGTATGCTTTATGTACAGTTTGAGAGCCACTGCATTGATAGATCTTTGCGATTTGGCAACGAAAAGTGTTAAACAATAGTGGGAAAAAACACTCGCTAAGAGTTCCGCATATACATCTATATTTGGATTGATCTTCACATACCCATTGGCCGCATCCTGTATCTCCTTCTGGTCGATGCCCGCTATGGTGTTGCGACGCTTGCCGCGCACCTTGCGCGATCTGGACCGCCTGCTGACCGTCTGCACGTTGTCATCCAGATTGTTGGCCTCCGTCTGGTTATCCTCGGGGCTGCCGCTACTGGGCGTGGCAGTGCCAGCGCCGCCGGCATAGCAGCCCGTCGTGGATTTGCGAGCGGCGCACATCCGCTGGAAATGCTTGCCGGATGTGTTCACCGAGATCACTTCGGCAGGGTATCTGCAAGTGTGTGGGTGGGGCAGATATACATAAGATTAGATTTTAGAGTGCATTTTGTGGTTTTCTTTTTTCATTGTTGTTCAGTCATTTTATGCTATGCTTAAATGTAAGTCAAACATTTGCGCTTTAAATCAACGAAGCGTTAACAATGTTTGTCTCTTCTCCTCCGACCCCTTCTCCAATTGTTTGTTTGTTTGCTGTGCCCATTTTGGGGGCGGGTACATTAAACAAATGAGCCATTACCGTAGAAGGGCGTGCGGGTTGTCGATGTGGGCGTGGCCCTGGCCAACACTTGCATAATTCTGTGTGTGTGTGTTTGTGGCCACATTGTAAATTTATGTAATGCGCAATTGAATTAATTTATTTAGCTTTTTTACGCTGCGGTTTCTGATTGCGTCGCGTTACAAACAAAAGCCCAAATATTGTAAAAAAATAAAAAAAAAAAACAACAAATAACAGAAAGGGCAGCGGCATGACGAGGCTTGAACACGCTTACAAACATTATCCATGAAATTAAAACGATCTAGGTAAAAATCTATTAAATGAGCTTTTTGCTCAGTTTTAAATGGTACAGTGGAGTCTAGCTATCATTGTTACAAAGGAAGACCGCTTCAAGCAAAAATTTAATACACGATTAACTTATTGAAGAAGTATGAATATACTATATAGTAAGATGGCGTAAGAGTTAGGTTGTAATCCAACCGAAACTATCTACATCTTCAGCTCTTGCTCTCACTCAACTGAGAGTCTGGATCCTAGAAAAGCCTTCAAATAATCAAATATTCTAAAAACATATTCATGAATAAATAATACTAATAATGAATATAATTAAATCCTAGCCTTACTTCAATATATATAAGAGAAAAATTTATAAATTTGGTCAAGATACAATTTAAAACAAAAACCATTTTTTTGACAGATTCTTCCTATAGGAGCTTTTTGATATAGTTGATATGATATAGTACATTTAAAGATCCACACTAAATCTTTAAAAAAAAGCATGAAAAGTTTCATGATTCCTTATGCAGTTATGTGACTTAGTTGTCCAGACAGACTGACAGGTAGGAGTTGTCTCTATGTGTTACACATTTCATGACAAAATTAAGAAAACCCTTTAAGAGAGAGTATTAAAAACAAAATGGGAGAGTGGTTGCCGCTTGGGCAAACAAGACAAAAATGCTGTAAAAATGTACACGAAATGCCAATAACAATGAAGAGTTAAATAAAATTAGCATATGAAAATGTGCTGGCTGGCAGAGCACAATGGCTGTCAAACTTTTGGCTAGAATCATTTAAATAGGAATTGCTGTACTTACTTTAAGGCAATTATTTTGGTTTGTTCCTCGGGTGAAGGCAGTCGATGATTCAAAGGCACATCTTTATTGATATCGTTCGGTAGCAGCAGCTGCTGCTGCTGGAGATGATGATGATGGTGATGCTGATGGGCGCCGTCCGCCGTTTGGCTAATGTTGAGCGCGTAGAGCGCATCGGCTGCATCGGCGGAGAGCACGGACGGAGAGAGTGCGGGCGTTAGGACGCCATTATCACCAAAGGACAACGATGTGCAGATCGAGGTTTCCACGTGGTGCATGCAATCGGGCGTGACGGTGACATCACCCAGCGCCTCGCTGGATGTCCATTTGCGCAAATCCTCGATGCCAGCGGGCTGCAAATGGGGTTGAACAGAGATATGATATGAGAGTGAGAGAGACCGCGAGAGAGAGAGAGAGAGGCGAAAGGGCATTCGTTTAATAAGCAGTTGGCCAAAACGAGACATGCAAAAATATGTTTTAGGCCATTAATTGGACCCATGGCAGGACTCTGTCACGCATATCCTTGTACCGTTGGAAGCCACTCATATGCTGAAAAATGAGCTGGACTCTTGCATTTGGTGTTTGCGCAAACATTTGTTTGCTTGGCCAGCGAATATTTGACCAAGTCACGCGATTATTCACGCGTTTTCTCAACACGATTTCGATTTATTTTCGCCTGTGTCCGTTTGTTGGCAACCCCATCGAAATTCAATCAGCCTAATTAAAAGCAATCACAATCTACAAATTCCCCAAAAATATTTCAAGCTCTATTTCCAAGTGAACCAATCGGACTAAACAATCGTTTCCATTGATTTTTTTTTCGGGGAGATGCCCATTAAAATCAATTGTAACAATTGAAAGTTAACTGTGGGAAGGGAGGGAGGGGGGGGGGGGCAGTTGGGGGTGTGTGCTGGAAGGGCATGAGCATGTAAGACGAAGTAACCCCAACACCCACATAATATCTGACATTTACATAAAAAAACCACTTGAGCTACGCTTTCACAACGAAGCAAAACTTTCGTCTTTTTGGACTAACTTAGAAATTAGAAACGCTTCTACGCACAGTGGTGCAAAAGTTCAATTTATTTATAGTTCTGCTAAGTAATTTTCAGTTAAGTTATTTTGAACCTAAATCTTTCAGGGCCATCAGCTCTGAATATGTAAAATTTAAGCAATGTGATGAACAAGTAAAAAATAATATGCACTTAAAGTTAGAAACATATTTAAGGCTTCGAACTGAAACCGGATATCCTAGTTGCAAAATGCAGGATTTAAAAACGTTAACAAGTAGACATTCGCTCGTGAATCATATTAAAGTGCTAACATTTTTTTTTTTTTGTAAATTTGCAGGGTGATTCATAGCTTTTAATTGTAGCTAAATCGATTTTTATTAAGCTGGTATATTATTCTTTATAAATTTCAGAAGTCCTACATTGTCACTTTGTACCTTGTATACAATTATGTTAAAAATTATCATTAGAGTTAACATTACGTTCACACCAAAATAAATGCTATAAGTAATATATTCATCAAAATCTGATTTGGTTTTTGACAAAATAAAAACAAAATAATTGCCTCTGCCTTGTTACCAGTGTGCAAGTCCTGTCTAGCTGCCAATAATTTGTTGTTGTTTACGGTTCGTCGGCTCTTTGTTTGCCTCAATTGAATGGCACAGCGAACTGGCCGAGTTTCAATGATAAAATATTTGCACATAAATGTCGTACCATATATAATAAAAACGAATTCCATGTGCTGCTGCCTTCTGACAACATTTTTTGCGGCCGTAAGCAATAAACCGAATGCGCTAATGCGAATCTTGGCCAACTAGCGTTAAAGCCATGAAGCTAGAGGAGTTGGAGCTGGAGCTGGAGCTGGAGATGCGTTCATGTGGAACTGGCGGCAACTAATGTCAAACGCAATGCGAAAAGGATTAAAAGTCATTCAATTAAGGGGCAGACGACAAAGACGTCGTCTTCATGTGGATATTGGCAGCGACTGAGCTAAAAGACGACATTCGACCACTTTTGGCCAACTATTGACAACTGGCTCTACGTTTTTGAGTCTAAACTAGTTTTGCCAAGTTGCTGTACAGGAAAGTCGCCGTGGCGGCGGCCTGGTCGTCGCCGCCATCGTCATCGTCAGCCAGTGGCTGTTTGTCTTAGCCAGCTTATCTAATGGCATGGATAAACAAGGAAAGACAACGTTGACGATGAAGCTGGCGATGATGTGGACGAGGAAGATGATGGCGATGACGATGACGATGACGTTGACGATGGAGTTGACGTTGCCCGTGGCAAATGGAACAACTCTGAAGCGCGTTAGCTCAAATTAAGTAACTGCGATTTACTGATACGAGCTGTGGCAAGAAGAGGCGGTGGATAGAAATAGTTTTAAAGAGTCAAGACTGAAGACCCTTTCTATGCGATTTCAACTGGCAATTTCATACGCCCAGCGTGGGACGTCACAACAGCAATTAAAAACGAAGTAAGACCCATTTGGGCATCAGTTCTCGACCAATAGATGCCCTACACCCGAAGCACTATACAAAAGAACACAAGAATTTATCTTTTACTCAGTGTTAAATCAATTATCAAGAACATCAAACATATATAATATATATCTAAGCTCTTTAAGCAAACCCGTTGATAGTCTATCTTTAAATGACCCAAGAAATACAGTACAGGTAATTGGGTAGGCCCTTTGTCAATTACATGCACTTACTAAATCCACCCTCCTTTAACTATTAATTACTACAGGGTATAACAACTCAACTCAACTGAACTGAACTCGAAATGATTTGGCGACCGCCTCGTTAGCCAGAGGCCTGTTGTGTGGTCTTGGTATCTGCTTTGGCCCAACTTGTTTGACAACGACAGAGGTCTCTCTCTCTCTCTCTGTCGGGCCGTGTGTGTTCGTGTCTATGTGGAGCACATTGTTGGAAGATGTTTTGGCCATAGCTCTTTGAGCTGGCACAGCTGGCAAATAGCAGGAAGCAATGGCCACAGCGTCAACCGCACAGACCACACACATGGGACCATGGTCGGGTTTCTGGGATTGGGCCGCCGGCTATGTTGTGGCAGATTATTATTTATGCATGAGGCAAGCACTAAATCAGCTCCAGTTTTGTGGCTGCTCCACATACCAAGTAGTAATAGCAACACCACCGGCCGTCGGAATCCGTGAAGGCTACTCACCAAGCGAATTTCAATCTCGGCATCGATGCGCGTGCGCAGCCTGCGATTGGCATTGCCAAAGTCCGAGTCGGAGCAGAGCAGCGACTCCTCCATGCAGGACGCATCCGTTGTACCATCCAGAACGTCGTCATTCGTTTGTATATCGCCGTTGAAGGATATGGAACGTGGCGTTGTGGCTGCGCTGGACAAGAGCAACAACTCCTTGCCCGCCTCCTTGTACAGCTGGCGCACGCTGTGCGGTCGCGTATCGCTGGAGAACAGCTCCTTCTGGAATGCCTTGTCCGACTCGTAGTGCTGCTTTCGTTGTGCAAATGTGAGCAGGTCGCTTTCAGCTATGAAGAGAGAAGACAAAAAGAGGGGCTTTAAAACAAACGTATGATGGATAATATTTAAAGAGTTATTATTTAAGATCTAGCCCAGAATCTATCCTGGCGACAAATGCGCATTTAGGCTAAACTTTATACTGGGCACGCGCTTAAACTGTTTGGGAATTGTAAACGAATTCAGTGACGACTTATGTTTGTTAGTTAATCGTAATTACCTATTAACAACGTTTGCGTATCAGCTGTATTATATACGCTTAATTCGCAGGAAAATATACATCCACTTTCCAGCTATGGATATTTGATATCTTTGTTAAATGCAATACAATGAAATGATTCATTGAATAAATCATTAGATGTTGCTACAGTTTTATTCGAGTCTGCTCTATATAAATGTATATACCATGAAATTTTCCCATGACTCAGTAGTGCATACACACTCCATATATATATCAGAGTTTAGTGTGTTACATGATCAATCAAAGCCCTTTATGTAATCTAATTGAAACAGTCTGTGCTGCGTTCCAGATGCGTTTTTAGTGCTTTAATCTCTCTGCTAGAGTTCTTCACAACATCGGGCAGCTATGCTTCCGCCCTCCTTCCTTGAATTTACATTGCGAAATGATTGCGGCATTTGGTTTTCGATTTAACGCCCAGCTCCAATGTTTACATCACAACGCAGACGATGATGCCACATGCCGCATGCCGCATGCCGCTTGCTGTTTGCACTGATTTCCATATAAACAAAAAGAAAAGCCCAGCTGCCCGTCGCCCGCAAATAAATCAACACGCAAATTAATAGAGTGGAAAAATCGGCAAAGACCAAGGACGTGGCATAAATAAATAATAATAAACAGAGAAAAAATCTGCTCATAAAAAGGAAGAAGAGCAAAAAAAAAATGATGTGAGCCATGAAAAATGTAATTAACTTTAATCACCCGAACAGGCCACAACTTCAGCTCCAGAACTCCACGACCAACTCCCAGCTGCAAGTGCAGTTGATGGTCCCGGAACGGCACTTGCATATTTAATTCATATGACAGCCGAAAGGCGGAGGGTCCAGGGTGTAGGGATAACTGGGTATGGTATGGGTGCTCTGGACTGAGGACCGTTTGTCTTTCTGGCTGTCTGCACATTTTGCATTTAATAGGCGCCCATGTGGACGGTAATGAAAACAACAAAGCCCGAGGAGTACCCGCGCCAGCAACTGCCACTCGTAGATTAACAAGGCAAAGGCAAAGACACTCGACGCGGCAGCTGGACCGCTGCCAGGCACTGCAACTAGCAACAGTAGCCCAGCTAGAGAGAAGTGGCCGAGAGAGAAGCGCCTTGGAGCTAGCGCTAAATTCAGGCAATTTTATGGCAGACGGGCAACATTTTGACGTTGAATGCGCCACTGGAAGATGCATGAGTCTGGGCACTATGGGTCGACAGGCAGTCACAGATACAGATACAAATACAGATACAGCTCAAGATACAGATACAGATACTTCTTTTTTATTTCTTGTGAGATCAAGTGCACAGACATTGGCACGCAGCAGCGCCTGCTGCCTTGCCATGTTGCACTTGACAGTGAGCACATGCCGAATCACAGCAGCAGCACCAAGAACAACATCAACAACAACAACAACAGCAATTTGCATGCCCCAATCCTTGACTCATTTGAGCACGAAAATGCGAAATTCAATTAAGCATGCTCAGGTGCATTTGGCCAATGCCGGAAGCTGTCAGCAGCTACGGAAATGACAAATTAACTGTGCAAAATTATTTTTCCTTTAATACGACTTTTTTGCGCTTTATTTTAATATTCTTGTTTATATCTTTTTTCGGGCGTCATTATGTCTGGTTTATGGTCATCGTCTGGCAGACAGTTCACATAACTTATGCACGCCCGATTGGCACTGCATTTACTGGCCATTTAGGTTCAGGGCCAAGAGCATAAAGTATCCCCAATCCGTTTGCCAGACAACGCCAGCTGCATTACTCATGCCACATACCACATGTGGCAACATGGCCATGTTGAAGGACGGACATATCAGACGGACATCCCCTACCATCAATGGGCAATATCGCAGACAAAGACAATTTGCTGAGATATTCAATAGCAAATTTTCAAAGTAAATAATCAAAAAGTGATGAACGTCAATAAACAAAACTTTCAATGTAAACAATAAAATTAGAGCCAGACATAAAAATGAAATACAAGAACTCAAAGAAGAAAGAAATGCCTTCTTGAAAGAAAACTTTAGTGATATTTGCAATTAAAGAAGATAAGCTTATCTGAAAGTTTTGAATTGATAAAGAAATTAAGCGACATTCCTGTAAGATCTAAATAACATCTCTTGATGCCCAATGGAACGAATCAAAAATTCATGTATGTGTTCCCAAAGAGAACATGATAATATTTGCATATTCGTTCAAGTCACACTGAACAAAGCTTGAGTTCAATTAAGATTTACTCAAAATTATACTTATTCTTCAGTCTGACATCCACCATTTTGTTTGAGTATCGATTAGTATGAAACGCTTTACAAATGAATGATGGTGAATAGTACTCAAAAAATACTCATGGTAGGTTTATAAAGCAGACCTGATTTATATATCTATATATCATTATATTCATTATTATATTTATATTTATATTTCCTGTGAGAGTAATCATATTTGTTTGTTTGCCCGTAGAACTCTTGAAGCGTAACCCTTCAAGTTGGACTATATATCCGTTTATATGAGTACGAGATTGATTTCAAATTCAGTCTAGAGCAGATCTAAGTTCGAGTGCGATATCGGCACTAGAGAAAGCAGCAAAGTTCGATATGCATCCAAAGTTTAAAAGCACAGAATAAGAATTACAGTTTAAGAGTCACTCACATCTTTTTTCACCAGTTTTCAGGAGTTATTACTGATCCAATCATGTTGGGCTTCAATTAAAAACTGATTGGAACATTATTCTATAACACGATTCGAAAATATCAAATTTGTATTGGCGCCGTCAACTCGACAATTGACAATTTTCATGTCAATCTGTTGAAATTTATAGCAGAGCACAAATCAAAGCACAGACATGATGCGAATGACACTTGTCGTGTGTCTGACAAAACCAATAAACCACATATCTATAGACAGTCTATAGACGAGACAGACGACACATGTATGGATGAGTGTGTACAAAATGATATCTAAAGTGCATTTGGCTTTCGCACATTGCACACCAAAGCCGCAAATAAACGAGTCTCGCACAAGATGCCGTGAGCGAATCGAATCAAATCAGAGACCAAAAATCCAAATTCAGCCTCAAAGCAGGCGCTGACATTTTATTAGAAACTGGCACTGGCCATAAATTGACACCGCCAGCTGCAAGTGGGGGTGGTGCACGTAAGGGAAGGGGGCGTGGGATCTGGTACGTGCGTCGAGGCTGCAGCTTACATGGCCATGTCGCTGTATCTGGCAGATACAATCTGCCAGGCTAGTACAGTGCAGCGTTCTGTGGCATAATTTGCGCAAAACAAGTTCCACACAAGGCACGTAACTGCCGCACGTGAAGGCAGGACACAGGGGCAGGTGGCGGAGCCCACTTTTTGCCCAGAACTTGCGATAATGTCGAAGCCAGTAAATGATTTATAGGCAGGCACAGAATAAGTACAGAGATTGGACTAGTCAGTCGGTCGGTAATTGGTAGCAATACGAGTTCAATGCACCCGCCAAGCCGAGCCGAGCTAGCATCAAACTCTGGCCAAAAGCGAGTAGCAGACATCAGATAAGTGGGTGCAAGTGCGCTCAACTGCTCCACTGCTCCAATCAGTTCGACTGCCCATTTTAATTTAATTATTTAAAGCGAAAACAATTGAAGCCAACAAGCGCGACGAGCTCCAACCACAGCCGCAGCTGCCCTTGGCCCTTGGCAAGCTGCCAGGCGGGCAGACAACGAGCCGCCGCGACTTGGACAACAGCGACTGCTCTCCAGGCTGTGGCAAGTACACGGACAACGGACTTGCCGCTGTGCGTAAGTGTCATAATAGCATTTAAAGCAATTACGGGTCACATTTTGGTGGCACTGAAGCCATAGGGGAATGGGGCACAGCGGGGCGGACAGACGGGAAATGAAAGTCCTGCAACATCCGATGTGATAAAAAAAAAATAAAAATAAAAAATAAATGAAAGTCAAGTAATAAATTTTTAATAAAGAAAAACGTTTCAAACTGTGCTACTCACGGATGCTCTCATAAATGGGTATTTACTTTGATGTAAAACACTTTTGAAGCTTTCATAATTTTAATCTTTTATTCAGTTTCTTGAGTTAAATAAAAAAAACTCTAGTTTTAAATTATAAACTTAATTACATTCCTTAAAGTTGGCTTTTAAATTCTTCAATACTTTCTGAACTGCGAACAGCTCAAAGAGCGCAGCAGTTCTATTAGTTCCAAAGCGGAACTATAAGGCTGAGAACCAGTTCACGTTCATCGTTTCAAATGTAGCAGTAATATACATAATAAATGGACTACCTTTTTGTGCTGCCTGTGCAGACTAACCGTGTATCTATCAAATAGAAGAAGAAAAACTTTTCCAGCTGTTGGTCGCTGTCAATATATCAATATATCAATGTTGCCGGCTTATCGAAAAACGCAACAAGCCAAGCCGCACACTTGTTATAAATGATGACTCTGAGCCACAACCTGGCGCAACCTGAAAAGCTGCGCTTATCACATTGTCTGCTTAGCCTTAGTAGTGGATGATTTATGAGCCAGGCGCAACGTCTGCTGGTGGAAGCTTAAAGCCAAATTTGTATCGCAAAGCTTTAACATAATACATAAATAGCATATAATACACACTAACACATACAGACACAGAAACCGTTACAGTATGTACACGTGTGCAAGCATGTGAGCGCAGAGTGTATACACATGTGCTTTATGGGCAGCGGCAGCAAAAAGTTTTTATGCGGCAACACTGGCTGCTGGCTGCTGGCTGCTATTTTAGCAAATTTTCGCATGCCAACAAAAGGCAGGCGA